GTGCGCGGCAAGCGCAGCGCCAGAGGCTGGACATGCTGAGCAGCTGAACTGAAGCGGATGCAATGAGAGCGTGATCTCTGAGAGCAAACAGATCTGCCATACGGAACGTGCTAGGTGGCAAACGAAGAGCTCTGTGCAGGGCGAACTTTTCTTTGTGCAGAACCCACCGCGGGATTGAGTAGAGCTGGGCAAGATAGCTGATCACAAATAGAGCAGTACTATTGGACAGCAGCACACTTACGCCTGTGGGGCTGTTCACCGACGGAACCTCGCAAACTCGAGACCACCACTTGCGCGCAGCGTCCGCCCAGATGGCGTTCTCTGTCGCACCGGGGCCGAACTGCGCTCCGAGATACTTGGTGTGGGAAGCGATGGCTATGTCTGCCCACGAAGGAATATTCTAAATTAAGAATGCGCTCAATAGACGAACGACCTCAGGCGTGAGCTCCGACCAAAGCGGCACAATAACATTTTCTTGGTCTGGGGGCGTAGGTGAGCCAAACGCTCGGCTACATCAAACACTGGAAAAGCTCGCAGCAGATCGGCCAGTCGCGGCTGGACTAAGCCAGCATCATCGGCACATCCTCCCACCGCCGGACGACAGTCACCCAGCGACGACGGCGAGACCTCCCCCACTAAGCGGCGCAACAATGGATCCATGGCAATGGCCCAGACAGAGCCGGGGAGCGGACACCCTTGCATCACCCCAGACTGGCGATAAAACATAAACTGCTGCTCGCCATTGACAGCAGCGAAACTTCGCGGTGCATAAAAGAAAGCAGAAATCAGGTTGCGGTGCCCCTCGGGTAGACCAAACCGCGCATGCACTTCCCATGGCCAGTCATGGCCCAGCGAGGAAAATGCGGCTGCAATGTCGAGAGCAACAAAGACTGGACAATCCTGCGCAGCCGCCTCGCGAATGCTCGCTCGTCTCGCGGCGGCGCCGAGGCGCGCGACATTGCCCCCAAAAAATTGCGACGTGGCACAAAGCCCTGCTGGACCTCATGCGTGCGCTCCTGTTCGAGCTTCTTGCGTCTGTGATTAGCGGCCGCTGCGAGTATCTTAGATTCCGCGCTACGCAGCGACAGGGGGCGGATTTGCGAGAATTGCCGCATGCATTTATAAGCGCCCAGCGGCTCAGAGCCCGTGGGCAAAATCGCAAACATGGAATCACTCAGAGAGCGCGGAGCAAAGTGACCAGCCATCAGATGTTTCATGAGCCCGTGGAGCACGCGGAGCGGCTCGACGGAGACCATCCAAGCCTTGCAGGGGAGCCTATCGGGACCAGGGGCACGGTGGCGAACGCGCTTAAGAGTCTCCTGGAGGTCCTCGAAGCTCGGGACGGGAATGTCGGCCGCGTCGAAGGCCGGGTAGTGTTCCTGAAGATGTTGCTGAATTTCCAGCTAATTAGCCGGCTTCGCCTGAAAGACAACCCAGCGGCCCAGCGGCGCTTCAGGGACTCGAGAATCTGAGATGGGGCCTTCACCACAGCGGGTTCCTCAGGGCCCAACGCGTGCTCAGGACGAACACAAAAAACGAGACTCATTCCCTTCGGTCTCCAAAGCAGGGCTCGGCGGCGGGCAGCCTTCTGATGCTTGAAATGGGCGGCAGCACCGAGAGCATCTTCAGCGCGCTGTGCCCGCTGCGCCGCCTGAACCGCACGATGTTGACCAGCCTCCAATTCAGCGGCGTGCAGAGAACGGAACTGTCGCCGAAATTCATCATGATGAAGCAATCGGACAACTCCGCTGTCCAGCCGAAGGAACCTCGCACCTTCTGATGTGGAGGAAATAAGCAGCGCCGCCAGCTCGACGCCCTGCCGCCAGACCGCCCGCGAGATGCTCCTCGCGGCGATCGATCGGCCACCGGCCGCGCGGTGATCATGGGGACGAAATGGAAGCCGCTGCAGTTCATCACGTGTTTGCCAACCCACCTCAATCATGAAGTCCTCCGTGTTGAGCCACTGCTGGACGGGGGAGAAGCGGTCCAGGCCAGCGACCGCGAGAAGCCCGTCTAGAATGTCCTTGTACCTGTCGCCGCGGAAGACCGCGCCAGGTATCCGGCGCTCCGCGGCGCGATTCGGAGCCTCGGTGCGCATGGCGAGGCAGGGCATGGAGTGATCGCTCAGCCTGGACTGCGACATCTCCACGGGGCCAGCAGCGATGGCGACGAGAATGTCAGTGTCGAGGAGGAAGTGCTTAGGAATGCCGACGAACGCCCGATCAATCGCGGACGCCGTGTAGTGCCGACGACTGAAGTAGGTGGGGAACGGGGGGCGAATCTCCCAAACGAGGTCGAAAAGCGGGCGCCAGAACGTCTCGGGCGGCTGGTAAGTGCGCGAAGTGAAGAGCGCACTCGACATCGGGAAAGGCGCGTCGTAGCTGAACGCATTGCCATCCCAAATGTTGAAGTCGCCCATGGCCAAGAATGTGCGCAGCATGGGATCCTCCGCATTCCAAGCAACAGCCCCGCGCCAATACTGTTCCACCGATCGACGACCTAACTCCGAAATGTCATAATTGTGGACATTGAGAATCCTGAAGACGGCGCCATTAACGGGATGAGCGATCCCCAATGCAGCATACCGGAGCCCTCGTCCATGGGACCGGGAAAGCGACTCCACCTTCACGCGTGGCCTCAGCCTGGGAGTGGAAGACCTTGCACGGTAAAGGAGCGCTGGCAACCAGCACCTCCAGCTGCAACGAGTCTCCGTGGCATCCCTGGATGAGCACGATGGTGCCCCGCCGCATGTGCTTCTCGAGCTTGGCAAGCTTGCGCCTCCTCCGCCGCGGGTGATAGCAGCACAGGCCACGCGCATTCCAGCTGACCACATACGCGCCCGAAGAGCTCGGAGAGAAGCACCACGGAGTCCAGCGAGGGCTAAATAGACCACAGTGAGGTGTCCGTCGCACGAAATAGCCGCTGGAACTCGGCGGAGATCGCAGCCTTGTCAACGTTGAACCGTCGAAGAACTTGCCCATCCCACCGTGTCCGCGTGCTGTCAGCTGCCGTGGAGCCGATCTCGAGCACAACAAGCGGGACCGCTTCGATGGAAATAATGCCCTCGTCTCCAACGCGACGCAAGTGATGTTGGGGATGCCGTTCGGCGAGTAAACGAACCAGACGCTTGGATTGTAGTTCTCGTCTGAATCGCTTGGGTGACCTGTCAGCATTGATGTAGGGAGGCGTGATGGCCCCATATGCGTTCGGTGCAGAGAATGTTCTCCACTGTCCACCATTGCGCAAGTTGCGCGCGAGCGAAATACTCTTCGTTGATGCAGCAGGTCCTCCCAGAACACGAAGAAAGAACCTACGCGACGGAACATCGCCAATGAACTCGACGTCGCTGAGAGAGACCCCCGCCGCGGTGATCCATGGCTCCAACGACCGCCGGGCCTCCGCAGGCTCGATAACCGAGGGCGCCCCAATGCTGTGAAGGTGAGGGACGGGCGGGCGGTCCCAGATAGCGAAGAGCAGCCATGTCGAGCGGCGGGAGCGTGGCCTCCGCCATGGCGAAAGAAGACTGGATGCGTCCAATGTCAGACCACATCTGCTGTTGCTCCTGCTCGACAATCTGCGTGCGGCTGCCGAGATCACGGAGATTGGTGTCGAAAGCGTCGATGCGGCCTCTCTGCTGTTGGACCTGCGATATGACCAGCTGGAACTCACTCTGGAGCGCGGTGGTCGCGTACTGCATCATGGCGTTCGTTTCTTGCTGAAGACGTTGGGTAGCTTTGAGCATGAGGTCTGAGAAGACGGCAGAGAGGCGTTCCTCCATGTCGGCGGGGCCTGGTCCATGTAACCTGTGACGGTCAGGTTCACGAGGGAGTGGCGGCGTCGAACTCTCAAGCTTCTGCCACGGGTCATTCTGTTGTAGCGGGTCCTCACCAGTTCGTCGCTCCTCATCAGGAGAAGTGGGACAGTCTTCCCATGCGCGGAAGAGCTCAGCGTCGCCTGCTGCTGGATGCCCTGGAGGTCGTTCGCGACGCTGCGAGGCGGGTCCTCCAGACGTGCCCGCACGGCGGTCCACTGGCGTGAGCTGTCTGTCGTCGCGATTCGTCCTGCGTTGTCGGCGTTGACCACGATCACTTCGGGGACCACTGGCTTCACCCTCGCGGCGACGCTGCCTGCGACGATCCCGCGCGGGACTAGAAGAGGACCTCGAGCTGCCGTTTGAAACCATAGCGACGAACACTGTCGTGGCCACAGCAGAGGGACAGGCCGATCCACCCGCAACCGAACGGCAGAGACCTCAGCGCCACGGAAGAGACAGCACGCCAGGATATGGAAGATATGGAAAGCTGTTGGGCGGCAGCTCGCCCCTGAGAGTCGCTGCGTGAATGGAAGCGCTCTGGGCGGGGATGGGAGCCTACCCCGCTTAGGCAGTGAAGAGAACCATCTTGGCTACTTGAGCCAAAATGGCTACGGTTGATGATGATGGCAATGATGATGACGATGAGCGAGGGAGAGGCGGGAGGAGGAGGAAGGAACGCGGGGAGCCATGTCTTTAAAAAGAGGACCCAACACCACAGGATGATTCGGACAAGTGCATGTGTTTCGAATCGAGTCCCAAGCGAGCGGAGAAAGGGGCTACGCATTTCGCCCCCTGGGGGCTCTTCGGGCCAAATTGCCTACGGTGCAACATTGAACGAACGTTGTCGATGATGGGACCGGAGGCGGAGCGGGGAGAAGATGCCGCCTTCAACACCGCCCGCTCCCTCCTGCGAGCTGAACCGCCTTCCCGGCGGACATGGTCGGCGAGTCGCTCATGGGGGACGGGCCCCCGAGGTCCCCAAAAAACCCAAGAGCTCACTCTCGATGACCCCACTGAGGCATTCAAAAACCGCTCCAAGAGAAATTCCCAACAGCTGGCACAGGGCCCCAAGACGCTCCAAGGTACCTCTAAGAGTTCAGGGCAGCTCTGCTGGGGCACTGTGCCTGGATGGGCTGGTGGAGACACGCGAAACGCTAAGAATATCCCTCTCCCGAGTGTCCGTGGCAATGGGGCCCTGCGACGTCATGGAGCCCCGCTTGGTCGCGGGCGCCTCCGGAGGCCGCCCGAATGGGGTCCGAGCAGAGGGGGTCGGGGTATCGCACAGCATCGCCAATACCTCGGCGACGTCGGGGAGGACAACATCGGCCTCCAGAGCGACTGGCATCAACGATGTGGCGCGATCCGCCGACCATCTTCGGGTGCGCCGAGATGGGGGGCAAGAGTGGGGGGGGAGCACACCATGGTCCAAGGTATGTGCGCGGAAGATGGGGGGTCACGGGACGCAATGAAAGAAGGAAGGGACGAGGACATGACATCTGTGAGATCTCATGGCCCCAACTCTTCCCCTAGTCCTCACTACCTTTGAGTGGAAACGCTAGTAGCGGACTGGCTCAGGAGGAAATGATCGACCTGGAGGCGGCAATGCATCGCTGCTAGATCGGTGATAGTCAAGTTCCGATATCGACTCCAGACGTTTCTGGGCGAGGTGGGCCAGGTTCCCATTGGCGATCGGTAGGCGATTGGGAGTCGATGCGGTCCCCCCTGAGCTGAGTTCTCCAGCGGTCGTTCGAGACGATCTGGGCACCCCCAAGAGCGCTCTCGGCGAGGCGCAGCCGCTGGAGAGCATCCGAGACTGGAAAACCGCCGACGATGCACAAAAACGTACGATAACCTCGAGACTCGAGCCTTTTCGACGCCCCCGACATCCACTCGGACCCCACTTGGGCGCTTTGGTTGGCACGCACGGATGTGGATACGCAAAACTGTGCACGATGCCCGACTCCAAGCACTGTCCAAAATTGACAGAGGCCGCTGCTAGGCAGGCTACTGTCTTCAAAGGACAACGCCCGCGGCGACACCGACAGCGAACCCTTCTCAAAATGGACAGGAACTGCTGTCGGTCTTCGTGCCCAATCTTTCCGTGTCCGTTCCGATCGTACCGATCTGGAGCCTCCGCACACGCAGCGCCAGCCGCGGCCCCCCCCGCCGCACCAGGCGTGTCCGCGGTGGCCGCCCCTCCCGCCGCGGCACTCGCGCCGGTGCCCGCAGCGCCCAGGCCTCCCGACGGGCGGCGGCCGCGGCGGACGACGGCGGCGGACGGCGACGGACGCCAGCGGCGACCACGGCGGCGGGGGCGGCGGCGACGGAAAACAGCGGACGGCGGACGGACGGCGGCGGCGACGGACGATGACGGACGGCGACGGCGACCACGGCGGCAGCGATGGAAGAGAACGGACGGCGACGGACGGCGGCGGTGACGGACGACTACGGACAGCGACGGCGGCGTCGACGAGAGACAACGAACGGCGACGGACGACGGCGACTACGGACAACAACGGCGGCGGCGGTGGTCACGGCGGCGGCGACGAAAGACGGCGGCGGCGCCCAAGGCCTCGGGTCCCGGCGGCAGAAGCGCCGCCGAGCCTCTGCAGGATGCCGCTCGAACGCCGTAGGAATGTCTGCATGTCTTCGCACGCCTCGGGGGGGGCGGGCGGCGGCGCTCGGGATCGTCCTGGGAGGGGGGGCGTCCAAGAGGGGGGTCCCAAATCATGGCCCGAGGCATGTGCGCGGACGAGGGGGCGGACCAGGGGACGCATTGAACGAAGAAGACTGGCGACAGCATCCGGGGAGATGTCGTGGCCCTGGCCCAAAGATCCACACCCCCCCTTGGCCACAAACGAGGCGCGCGCGGGAGCTCTCCGAGGGCCGCCGTGGGGCCGCCGAACCCTGTACCTCTTACTGCGGCATTTTTCGAGCCCGACTCGCTCTGTGATGACCCTCGGGGCCCGAAGCTCGGCGAAAACGTCAGCGGAGGGCCGCGGAGGGCCTCCGAGGGCCCTTCGAAGGCCCTCCGAGGGCATCCGGGGGGCCTCCGAAGGCCGCCGAGAACGGCCGAAGGCCCACACTCCTCGAGGGCTGGGGCGGCGTCAGCGGGCGCGTCCAGCGGCGTGATGCGGGACTCAAAGGACAGCTCCAAGCCCCCGCCCTGCAGGCCCTCCGCGGCCTCGCGTGGCGAGGGGGGGGGGGGGGGCGACCTCTGGCTCGCTCGCTCGAGCGAGCGAGGGAGCGAGCAAGCCGCGGGGGGGGAGCGAACGAGGCGACTTCTCGATCGCTCGCTCGAGCCAGCTCCCCGAAGAAGAGACGCCCCCGAAGAGGAGAAGCCCTGGGGGAGGGAGGGAGGGGGCAAGCTAGGAACGCCTGGGCCGCATCTGATATCCCATCCCTCCCACAAGTCCCTCCCCATTGCGAAGATTTCGCGTTTATCCGCCGACGCGCGTCATGGCGGACCGGCAATTCCAGAAAGGGTTTCCTCTCCTCTCTCCGCCTCCGAAGCCCAAGCGGATCGGGCGCGGTCGGGGCCGCCTGGGCCTGCGCCCCTCAAGCCGCCCCCCCCCCCTCTTCCTCCTCGCGCGCCCTCGCGCTCCTCGGACTCTTCTCCTCGCGGCCTGAAGCGCCCTCCCGCTGGAGGGCGCGAGCTCCGCGGCGCGTCTCGCCGCCGAACCCCCTCTGTGCCCCCTGCGCCGTGCGCGTCCCGCCGCGAGGGCCCCTGCCCGGACTGGAGGGGGGGGTCCTGGCCCCCACTACCCAGCGCTCTTGGCGGCTCCTCCGCGCGTTCTTCGGCTGCAGCACTGCCAGCCGTCGAGGCCCCCCCTGCGCCTCGGCCCCCCCAGACCTCTCGGCCGCGGCTGCCCTGCGCGCTGAGCCCCAGGCCGGCGCGGCCGCCTCGAGCGACCCCGCGCCGTGGCCAGGTCCGCGGCCGCAATGCTGCTGGCTGCGCCCTGCGCCATGTCCCTCGCCCCCCACAGGTAGCCCTGGAAAGCGTCGCTGTTCCAACGCCCCCAGCGCTGCACTAGCGCCGCGTCCTTGAAGGCCGCGTGGAACGCTGATGCCCCGCCAATCCTCAAGCTGCGGGAGCCCGGGTCATTCGGGTCGACCCCCTCGCCCGCGGCTGACTGCATCACCGCGCGCTGGACATCGACCCTCGTCACGAGCCGCCTGTCGTCGTTGGCGAAGGGCGGGTCGCACGTCCGCGCTCCGGAGAACCTCTCGCGCGCCTAGTGCCCACCCCTCGTAGATCGTGAGCGCCTCCACTGCGCAAATGCTCATCGTCCGCCGTGCCTGGCGCTGCTTCGACCCTGAAATGGTTGCGCCATTCCCCTCGATTGTACTGGTCCGTCTTGCTGGCCCGTATCTTGATGACGACCTCGTTCGCCTCGGGCCACCTCCTCGCCGGCTCGCTCGCTGCCTTCGGTGCGACGCCCACGCCCCTTAGGCCCTTGCCCCCGGTGTAGCCGTTCTGGTCGCCCGACGCGCACTCGCTGGCCCTCGGCAGGAAGGGATGGCCCGCGGCGGCCGCAGCCCATAGGGCTGCGCCCTCGCGCGACCTGTCCGGCTGCAGTTCCCCCTGGATCCACCCCATCATCCTGGGCGTGACTGGCTTTTTTCCGCTTGGCGTCGCCGTCTCGCCCCCCCCAGCCCGTCGATCGCCGTCCAAAGCCTGCCCGCGCCCGCCGCGGTATCGCCCAGACCGAGGGCGAGGTGCTGGGCCCGCGCTGCACCCAGGCACAACTTGATGGTGCCCGCATTCTTGTACCCTCGTCTCGACAGGGACGACGAACTCCAGCATCAACTCCTCCTCGTCCCCTCGGCTCGCGGGCGTGACCTCCCTGAGTGGGCTGATGCCGCTTGCCCAGCAGAACAGGGGCCACCACCTCCAGCCTAGGCTGTAGGACTTGATGGTGGAGCTGGCCAGTTTGTCCAGGGAGCTCCAAGTTGGCTCTCTCCCAGGCCTCACGCGCCTTGAGGTCCGTCAGCGTCAGATCGTCCAGCTTGCCTCTCCCTGACCGCTTCGGGCCCCAACAGGTTGGGCGGCCTGCTCTCGACCGAGTCCGCGCTCTTGCCCCCGCGCTTCCTTTTCCTCTGGGCGTTGGCGCCCGGCCCCCGGTCCTCGGCCCCCCCTGAGCGCCGCGCGGCCAGAGCCCAGTCGAGCCACCCGCCCCTCTGGTCGAGATATCCCCGCGACCGAACCATCGCGTCCAGCTGCTTCCTGGCGTCATCCTGCTCTGAGCATCCGCTCCTGCGGCTGTCCCCCTCGCGCCCGGCGCGCCTTCCGCTGCCCTCGGAACCCTGGCCCCGCGCAGCTCCTCGCGCGAATGGCTCTAGGTGAAGCCTGAGCCCCTCCTGGCCATGGCTGGCACCACCGCCCGCGCCTCGGGCACCCCGCAAGCACCGGGCCACCGTCTCCGGGTCGACGCCATCCAAGTCCGGCTCACTCTGGCGCCTCGCTCGAAGGCGGCGGCCGTCAAACCGGCGCAGCTCCTCGAGGTGCTTGGCCATCCCGCGCCTCGCGCCCTTCCTGCGGGCTTCCTCGGCCTCCTCGTCCGCGTCGCGTTTGATCCTGATGGCCTGCGCCCGCAGCGCCGCCATGCGGGCTTCGTTGTCTGCCTGGATCTTCGCTGCATCGGCGCCGCCCCCCGGCCTGAGGCCCGTCGAATCTGGCGACGGCCCTTTTGCCCCCCCCCCCGCCCTCGAACGTGGCAGACCCCCCTCGCGGCTGGCTGCGGAGCGCGACGGCCCTCCGGGGCCCCGGCGCGGGACGCGGCCGCCCCCTCTCCACCCGGGCGGTTCCCCGCACCCCGGCGGGCTGTGGCGGGGCGGAGCTGGCCTCCGTCCTAGCGTCGGTTCTGCGCCTGCCCCTCTCCAGGGACCTCGACCTCGGCTGCCCCTCCTCGCGCGCGCTGGCGCCGCGCCTGGGTCCGCGCGGCGCCGCGGCTGCAGCCCCGCCTTCTTCGCCCCGACGGGTGGCCCGCTCCGCCAAGTCCCTGCGCTTGCGGTCAAGCGCCGCCTGGCCTGGGCGCCTGATGCCTTCGCCTTCCGACTGCGGCCCCCCCTTGACATCCTGCGGCAGCATCCTCGCCCGCGGGCGGACATGCGGCCCCTCCGACACCGCGCGCACATTGTTCTTGCGGGCTGCACCCCTGGTTGCTCCCGCCTCCGCTTTCGCCAGGCCCGCCTCTGCTTGCCCCCCCCCCCCCCCCCCCCCCCCCCCCCCTCCCCTCGGCAGGGGGCGGCGGCGGGCGCTCTGTCGAAGGCCTTCCGCTGCCCGGCGAGCCCCCATAGTCCGCTACGCCCTGCCGGAAGGCGGCCCCGCTCCAGCCGATGCTGCCGGGCCGGGCGGAGGGCCGGACATGGGCGCCTTCGGCGGCGCGGCGCCGCCCTGCTTCTTCTTCTCACTATTATTATTGTTCTGCTTCTTCTGCTTCTTCTTCTTCTTGCCCCGTCTGCCTCCGCCCTCGCCGGGGGGCTGGTCATCCACGCCCTGGCCGTGGGGGGCCCTCTCGCAGTACACGCAGTGGTTGATACCTCTATCCGCCCAGTCCTCGCCCCGGCGCCTTCCCCCGCACTTGTCGCAGTTGCCTGGCTTGCAGAGCTGCTTCGGATCACTGCATGCGCGCGGACCAGGGGCAGCCCGGGCGGAAGGCGCGGCGCGGGCCCTAGTTCTCCTGCGCGCGAGCCTGACGAGGCTGCCCCTTGCCGCGGGCACCGCCGCTGCGGGCCTTGGCGCCGAGGCCGCTCGCGGCGCGGGGGCCGACTTGCCTTCCGCCGTCCACCTGCCCCAGCTCTCGTCGTCCTCGACGGCCCCCGCCCGCCCCCCCGTTCTCCCTCCTCGGAGCGGGGCTCCGCTGGGCCAGCCCAGGCACGGGGGCCCCCTTCGCTCCGCGCGCGGGCGAACTCGGCGGCGCGCGCGCCCCCCCTCGAGTTGCGCGCCGGGCCGCGATTCCGCCCGCGCGTGTACGCGCGCCCCGTAGCAGTAGAAGACCTGGAAGCTCAAGTCTGGCAGAAGCCGTCTGCGCCCCTCTTGGTGGCAGCAGCCTGTCCCGAACCTCGCCGCCCGACCCCATGTCGAAGTATCGGCCACGTCCGAGAAGCCGCGCCGCCCTTCGTCGATGCTCGCAGTTGCACCGAAGAGCCTGGTCAGGGCGAAGGGGGGCGCCATAGGCAAACCTGTTGGCGCGATCACCTCCGCTGGGGCGGGGTCTCCGCCCGCGCGGCCGCCGGGCGCCGCCCCGGCAGGCGGGGGCGGTGCCGGGCCTGGCCCGGGCGAGGGCGCTGCCCCTGATGAGGCTGCTGCGGCCCGGCCCCGGGCGGCCGACGGCTGCGCCCCGCATCTCGCGTCTCGCCCCTTGCCCTGCGCGCCGCAGTGTTCGCGCCAAGCGTAGAATATATCTGGGCCCCCTCCCGGGAAAGGCACCCGGAGCTCGAAATCGGCAGAGCCCCGCCCGCCATTCCCCGTCCACGGCCCGCCCGCCTCGCGCGCCGGGGCTCGGGGCGCCGCCTTGCCCTCCCCCAGGTCGTGGTCGCCGAAACCCGTGCTGATGGGCCCCTTCCGGCCTTTCCTGCGCGTCGCCCTCTGGTGGTCGAAAGCCCGCCTCCCTCTGCTGCCTCGCGAGATCCTCATAGTATAGGCCCCGCGTCCTGGCCCGTGCTGTGCCCCACTCGAGCCCCGGCGCGCGCGGCAGCAGCGCCATCCCCAGCCGTGGCCCAGGAGGTGGACGCACCTCCTGCCGCAGCTCCCTCGGCATGGTCGGCACCTGCCTGGGTCCTTCCCCGCCTTCAGAGAGATCAGGTCTGGGCGCCGGTCCCCCAAGAGGTCGCGAGCTCGTTTCTCCCCGCGATCGTCGCCTGGGAGCACGCCGCATCGGTGCTGATCGCCCTCCTGCTGGTCCGCCCGCACCTGGCCTCGCGGATCATGCGGGCATGCCTTGCAGCCCCCGCCTCCGGCCAGAGGTGCTCCGCTCGTTTCCTCGGCGCTGGCGCCGGAGACGGGGGCGGCGGGGGCGCGGGCGCCGCCTCTGGGCCGGCCTCCTCACGCGGTTTCGCCTCTACCTGTGCGGCGGAGGCGTCGTAGTAGTGACCGTAGTAGTAGTAGTAGTAGTAGTAGTAGTAGTAGTAGTAGTAGTAGTAGTAGTAGTAGTAGTAGTAGTAGTAGTAGTAGTAGTAGTAGTAGTAGTAGTAGTAGTAGTAGTAGTAGTAGTAGTAGTAGTAGTAGTAGTAGTAGTAGTAGTAGTAGTAGTAGTAGTAGTAGTAGTAGTAGTAGTAGTAGTAGTAGTAGTAGTAGTAGTAGTAGTAGTAGTAGTAGTAGTAGTAGTAGTAGTAGTAGTACTCGCTGGAGTGCTGACCACTGTGAGCAGAGCGCCCGCCCGGACCGGCCACGGCTGGCGGCGGGCCCGTAGACGGGGACTCGGCACGTGCCGGGAGCACCGCAGGCAGAGGTGGACCCTCGGGCGCCGCGACCGCTGGCAGCTCGTTTCCGCCCGCGTCCGGGCAGCTGGCCTCGCCCTGCCTGTCGGGTTGGCCCTGCTGCTCCTCCTCTTCTTCGCCGCCTGGCCCCGCCCGCTCATGGCCTCCCTCGTCAGGGCCCGTCACGGTGGCGGACGCATGGACCGTAGCGTACCAGTTGACGCCAAAAGAAACGTCGAGCCATGTCGCTTGCGCCCCCATGGCCAAGGTCACGGTGCACTCTACGGGCCTCATCTTCTTGCCCGCCCTTCAGGTCGCGGGCGCGTGCAACGTCCGCCGCGGGCCGCGGGGCTCCCCTCCGGAGCCCCAGCCCGCACTCGAGGGGGGACCTGGCCCAGCCGCTACCCAGCACTCCTCGGACTGCTCGGTCTCCCTCGACTGGGCCCCCGTGCTATGGCCCCGCCCGCCCACCTCCAAAAAGGATGCTGAGGCTTTTCCTGGAGCGGCCTTAAGCCAAGTGCGACGGAGGAGGAGCACAGGCAGGAGAGGGAGGCTGCGCAGAACGAGGAAACCCGCTGTTCTCTAGAACGTCCACACCCCATCATGCGATGCGCAATCGGAAAAAGGGGGCCATATACATTGGAGGAGGTGGTGGAAGAGAGCACGAGGAGGAAGGTCGGACACTTCGGATGACGAGGGGTTCCGAGAGCGAGGCGTCAAGCCAACAGGCGGCACGCATTCGAGGGAGGTTGTCTTGAGAACTCATGTCGTCCTGACCCCCAGCGCGCGAGGGATGGGCCCGCCATGCCCCCCCGTGTTCAGTTTCGACGCAATTTGGCGACGAATTTCACACTGGCGCCCTCGCCTGGTCCTCAGAGAGCCGGTTCCCCGAGCCTCCCCAAGGCGGTCGCCAGAGGGCCCCCTGTTCCGTTTCCGGGAAATCCGGCGACGACTTTCAAGCCGTTGACATGCTCAAAAACCAGAGGAGGAGGAGGAGGAGGCGGAGGAGGAGGAGGAGGAGGAGGAGGAGGATGAGAAGGAGGAGAAATGGAGGAGGTGGAGGAGGGGGAGGAGGCGGAGGAGGAACGATCTCCAGGGACCTCACCGGATTTCCTGTGAGGATGTGGAGGAAAAGGTGGAGGTTGCCAGCATGGGGAGCTGGAGGGGCTGGAATCAACAAATATACATCCCTTCTTCTATCAATAGAAACTCCCGATCAACCGCAGAGCGGCCGGACGGCCCTCTCCCATGGAGAAGGTGCTTTCTCTCAAAGTTTGCTGAAGGAACCCAGGGGTGGCCTTCCTACACTGGGTCTGGCAGCCATGACAGGGAGGGAGGAAGAAGAGGGTCGAGCAGGACGATGAGGAGGTCGAGGATGAGAATGAGGAGGTCGAGGATGGCGCCTTCTGGATCTTCTCCTGGCTGTCCCAACCACTGGGCACGAAGACTGCGTCTCGCGAGGGCTGATTGGCAGGCCTCTTGAAGGAGAACCCGTAGAGCCGGTGCACGAGGTACTCATACAGCACGTCCACGTTCTTGCTACTCTTCGCTTGGACCATCGTGTAGACGATCGCAGCCCCGTAGCTGAGGCACTCATTCCGGATGTAGACCTCTATCGCCTCGCCCCAGCCAATCGTCTTCTGACTCTCGAGCGCGCTCGCACCGTCGGCGCGCGTCACCACAACGACGACGGGGATGCCGAGGTTCATGACCAGGGATGCGGGGCCAGACTTTGCGGCGTCGGCGTTGGCGTCGCCCGCAGCCGAGGCCGCAATCTTGGCGCGGAGCGCGTCCTTGGAAAAAAATAAACTGTATTATTTGGACCATGGCAAAGACTGAACGCAGAAACATCGGTGTCGTGTCCATATTTGTCATCGCCCATCTTGGTCACCGTCAACTCGTGGATCATCCTCGCAAATCGGCGACGGCCAACATGGACAATGACCGGAACGACGCTGACAGAATCCAGCGACGTCTTAGTCATGGTCACCATGCTCTTTCCCTCGATTCCTGCTCCTCCAGCGACAGCTCCGCGAGGAGCTCGCTAGTGATCCTCTGCAACACAGCGAGCCACTCGCGCAGGTCGTCCATCATCGTTCGGGGAGACGTAATGCTCCAGCTCGGGGGACTCCATACGGGGGCCGTCAAAAACATGACGGGACCCAATCTGAAATTTGACGCGATCTCCCGGTGCAAACGTCCCACGAAAACTGGACCGTCAACATCCTGGACGGGATCGTCAAAAAGCTTTCGCTCACCCGAGTTCCGGCGAATTGGAGTCTTTCGTTTCCCCGAATCGTCCACGGCTCCTTCAGGTCGAGGCAGACCACGGCCGCGCACCTCTGGAGCCCGCCAGGTTTCAGGCGGCTCTGCAGCAGTTTCGCTTGGCGCGCTTCCTCGAGCAGCAGGACGCTACAGGCTGCAGGGCAGCTGGTGTCGTAGGCGATGTCTGGGTCTCGGACGCCGAAGTACGCGTAGTCCAGGCCGACGGCGCGGCTGTGGCCCGCCTCGGGCGCCGAGTCCCTGTCGGCCTCCAGTTTCTCGGCCTTCGGGTCGGAGTGCGCCAACAGCGCGTGGACCAGCGTGCGCTTGCCCACCCCAGCCCGGCCCAGCATCACCAGAGTGGCGTCGGGCGTTTTGGCCGCATGAGCGATCTCCTTGAGGATGCTCTCCCAAATGCTGCCGGCCACCTGCTCCTGCGAAAGGGCCGGCATAAACAAGCGCACAGGCTGCACACGGTGGCGCACGGCTTTCCTGCCAACGCCCGAAACTCTGGGGCGTCCCAAAACCAAAGCCGTGTGGCGACAAACCGCGCGGTGACTTCGGCACCCCAAGAGCATTCACCGCGCGGTCCGTCACCGCTCCCGGGCCTGGTCGCTCGGGACATCGGAGAAAGACCCGAATCCCAAAATCATGCGGTGACCTCGAATCCCCTCTGGCTCACCGCGCAGTGCGGTCACCACTCCGCGCGGGGGCCCCCGAATTTCCCTCGCCACGCCTGAACTCCCAGGCGGGGCCGGGCGTGGGCACGGGGCCCGGCGCTGGCGGAGAGGCGGTTCGCAGCGCGCGTCAAATGAGCGAGCGCGGGAGGATCTGAATGACGACAAGAAACGGGACTTCCGCAGAATGGCGCGCGTTCTTTCGTTGCGGCTCACGCGGGGCGTCAACGCGGCGCACCGCGTGGATAAGAGGGCACTTTCGCGCGGCCTCACGCGGGAAGCTTACGCGCGAATGTCCGCGCAATCGACACCGTCACCTTTTTTTGTTTTATCCACGGGTTGTCGTCAGAACGATAGCCGAAAGAAAGCGAGGGGCGGACCCAGGAACCGCAGACAACCGAGCGGAGGGACACGACCGAAAGAAAAGAGCCACGAAACAACGAGGGCCCGCAATCAGCAAAGTGATGCTGGGCAAGCCTGGAGGGGAATGTGACTTGCCCCCGTCCTGGCTCGTCGGAGGTCTTTGCCTCGCCTCCCCTCCGGCAGTCAGCGCACTATTAAGCCCAGGCGGCAGCAGAGCTCTTTCTCTCTTTGCGAGCCTGGGCAAGAGAAAAGGGCGCGTCATAGCTGCGCGCGGCTTCCCTTGCGCGAGCGGGAAGGGCGCTTGCTTCCATTGCGCCTCCATGCTCGGGGGGGGCCCGCAGTCAGACGGCCCCAAAAAAACAGGAACACATAAAATATGTTGCCCCCACAAAGAGAGCGAATGAGGAATGCGTCGTCCAACGGCCAGCTCACGAAGAGAGAAAAGTTAGCCTAGACTCTGTTTCTCTTGGCGAGCCTGGGCACAGTACAGCGCAGACAGGCAAAGCAGGGGATCTCACAAGCGCAAACGGCACGGGCGTTTGCTTCCATTGCCATTCAATGCTTGTGAATTCCTTGCTGTCAAGCAGCCTCTGCTGGCTGGGCAGGAATTGGCTGAAAAGAGACGGCCCACAGCCCGCGGCAACGAAAGGAACAAGGCAGCCTCTTCGTCGTTGGCGCGCCTGGGCAAAAGGGAAACCACTATAATTACGAATGAGGAGCCTTGCGTAATAAACGCTTTAGCGGGCGTCGGGATCCAAAGCGACTTCCCGTGCCACTGCAAAGATAATCGCACAAGATATATCACCCCCTCATTTGCCGACCCTCCCTGCATTAAACATCAGGCTGCAGCACGGTTGCAACGGCAATTCAGGGTTGAAGAGGGCTTGAAAATCAAGGACATCGCGTGGTTTGGGGAACGCATGAAATGACGCTGGCATAGTCAACAGCGCAAACATATCCGATCGGGCGCCCCGCGCGTGGGCCACGCCCATCGCGCGCGAGCCTCAGGCGGGATATTGTGCCAGTGGCCCGAGGGGGGGCACAGTGCAATTCCAAATTCGGTCCTCGACGTTGCTTCCAGAGTAGCTGCCACAGCGGCGAAAGAAAATGATATCCTGCAGCGTTCGAAGACAGCGCACCCCCCCCCCCCCTGTCGGAGACGAGCGTTCGGACCGCAAGAGGTAGCTGTTGGAAACCGAACAAGCCCAACAAGTCACACATCTAAACGGCCCTACGGAAGGGCCCCAAAAAATCCCACGCAGAGCTCCAGCTGCAGGTCCCGACAAAAGGCGGGAAAGGGGAGGTGGAGTCTGGGTGCCATCAGAATCGGCAGCCTTGGCTTTCTCGGGGACATTCTTGATAATCCATGCATTGCAGCGCCCGGTATGATAGCCTAGATGTCGAACGCGGGCGTCAGACAGTTGAATCCGATCCTGCTGCGCTATGCCATGGACATGTACGTCCGCTCCTTGGCCAATCGGTCTGCCTGTCGATTCCCGGCGTAGTGCGCGTCACTACGATCGCCCTTACGTACTTTGGTGGCTCGAATTAAGTGCTAACCGATGTCCGTCGCTATACGGTGGACCTGGGCCCATAGGGGGCAACGATTGGCCCGCCCATGGGTGGGGGCTTCGTGGCCCAGGACCCAAACGTCAACAACGCATTGGAAATCGGTGACAAACTTACAATGCACAGATGGGGCAGCATGGGTGAGGTAACATAAGAAAGCGTAGAGCTCAGCCCCACGAGTGTCATGGCCCAGTAAGACGACCGGCGCGCTGACCCCCCCCCTTCGCGACAGGAGGTGCGTCGCGCATTCGTCGCCCGTGCGCCGCCCGTGCGTCGGCCGCCGAAGAGGCCAGCCGTCCTCTCGAACGCGCGCGTCGTCCTCGCAAGGGGGCAATTTGGTGAGTGCGTCGCCAGCGCGGCGGACACCCGCGGGGCGGATCGCACGCGCGTCGCCCTCTCCACGGCCGCTGAAAAGGCCGGTCGCCCCCGGGAAAAAGAAAATCGCCCACGCTGCGGCCCTCTCGGCGAGAAGAAGGCGGCCGCTGGGCCACCTCGGCAGATCAGAAAATCCCTCTGACATTAGAAATGCAGCGATGCTGCTGAACGCGCCCCGGCGCTGGGGCAGCAGGTCCCCGCAGCCGCCGCCGCAGACGCCGCAACCGCCGCCAGCGCCAAAACTACCACCGCCACGATCACCAAAAACGGATGCGACCGCAACCGCATCCACCGCGACGATTACGACCAACATCATTTACCGCCATCACCACCACCACGAGCACCACGCGTCTCGCGACCACCACAACGACCGACACCAGCACGATCACCGACGCGCCCACCACCAGCCCGCCCACCGCCAGCGGCACGACCGCCGCCAGCGCGACCAAGGCGACGAACGCGACCACGACCATGATCACAAACATGACCATTACAGAAGCACCCGCCCACTCCGCCCTTCCCCCCTCTTCCCCGCATTTCCCTGCCGGGCCGCCCTTGCCGCCGCGCCCGCCTCGCGCCCCTGCCCCATCCCCCCTCCTTTTCTCCTCTTAATTTTCCTCTTCCACCGCCAGCGGCGGGGCGCTCGCGGAAGGCGGGGGCGCCGCTCGCGGCGGCGCGCCGCGGCCGTGGAAGGGGGGCCGAAGGAGAACGAGAAAATGAAGATGGACACGGGGCGGCAAGGAAGAAGAAGAATAAGAAGAACAAAAACACCAATGAAAGAAAGAGAGAGAGAGAGAGAGAGAGAGAGAGAGAGAGAGAGAGAGAGAGAGAGAGAGAGAGAGGAGAGAGAGAGAGAGAGAGAGAGAGAGAGGAGGGGGGAGGGACAGACAGAGGGAGGCCGGTAGAAAGGAGGAGGAGAAGGGGAGGAGAGAGGGAGACGAGGCAGGAGAGAGGACGAAGGAGGAGGAATGACAAAAGAGGAGGGACGACGAGGAAGGAAAAGGGAAATAACAGGGGCAAGCACCGCCCTTCCTGGCGCAATGGAGGACGCAGCCGCCGCCACTTGTGAACAGCGCAAGCACGGCGGGCCGACGGCCGTTGCGCATTGCTGCTCGGAGAAATGCTAGGGGCGGGCAAAGTCGCGACTGCGTCGCGCATGCGTCGCGCGTGCGTCGCGCGGGTCGATCGTGCGTCGCGCGCTGGCAGGGGTGCGTCGCGCGCGGGTCGGGGTGCGTCGCGCGCGCGTCGCGCGCGCGTCGCGCGCGCGTCGCGCGGGCGTCGCTCGGGTCGTTCGCGCGTCGCGCGCAGGTCGCGCGCGAATCGCTCGAAGGGCGCCGTGGGCTCCTGACGGCATGTGAACTGCACGGCCCGCTGGCGAAACAATCAAGGGATGCGCGCGGCAATCGTAGAAATAGCGAGACACGCACGTGAGAACTACGAACGCGAGGAGACCAATAGACGAC